AACTATACCAGAGGGACAAAAACTATTGATTTTTCATGGTAATCGAGGAACGTGAAATTGAGAGAATTGGTTTGAAATGATCGAAGTACGGATTTAAATGTACAGTAGATTCCCTCTTATCCGGTCCTGTTTTAAATAATAGGTTTCCACTTCAACCGGCTAAATTTTTGTTGGTAGATCCAGTAGCGTAATAAATCTTACGTTCAAACCTCAATTGAACAAATTAAAATATTTGGACTTTATTTCGAAATAAAATAGGAGGGAAAAGTTTAAAATATGAACAAAATTATTCTTATTTGTTCACGTTTTCTCCAGTTGTTGGCATTTCGCTGTATACTTGCTGTTTCAACTTTTCCTATAAATAAAAATATCTCGTGATTACTTGTTTAAATTTTATTCTCAACTTTTCATGTTCGAAAATACTACTTTCCTGCAAAACATTGGTATGATAATCTGAAACTTTAAAATGCATCAAACATGTTAATCTCCGAATTAATTGAACATTTACAATGCATACAGTAATTTGTCTTTAAAATGATATTTCTTACATTATTAACGATAGGCTTTTACATTTTACATTTTTTACATTTTTTACATTTCTCGGCTCGAATCAACAAAAAGTCATAAATAAAGAAAGCTTTAAGAAACAATTAAAGCTAACTCGATGTCTACATGTAGACTTTTATACAAACTAACAAGGCAGGGATTGATAAAGGTTAACAATTATTTGCAATGAGATTTGCATCATTTACTTGATTTCAAACATGACGAGCGAATCTCGCTATTACTTTTAAATTTCAGAGATTTATTTACAAAGTTTAACAGTTGCAAAATCTAATATTTGCTGTGTGTTAAGTTTGTACGTACCTAATGTATTCGTGAAAATAGAGATGCGCGGCTATTGCATCACCGAAGCGCAAGATCCTCTTTGCATTACCCCGTTGTCTCGAATTAATTAGTCAGGTTAATTCACTTGATGGTGTTTCAGATAAACATCAATACGTTACCTTTCTAAGACTTGAACAAGGTACAGTAATTGGTTGAGTAAAACCACGAAAGACGTTATGCACGTTATTTATTGATCGAAATAAATTGGAAATTACGTAATACGAGAATCGTAACGCACATTTCCATCTATTTAGAAAGATCGATCGATGCATAACTTTGTCACCTTAAACTAAGAGAATAAATATGTATAAACATTTTATGATTTCATTGAAACCACCTTGGACGCGTGAAAACGTTGGCTTATTAGACAATTTTTTGTTCGAAAACAATTGACTCAATAGAAGATTCGTTAGTTGAGTTTTATTAAACATTAGCTGCACCGGCATTTTTGTAGACATATGTATATATAAAAAAATATTGAAATTTTACGGCGGATAAGAGGTACTGTATCTTCGTAAACAGAATCCTCCAATATGCAAAGTTTCGACTAAATCAGCAACCGGAAGGTGTTGCAATTTCCACGTTAGAGCAATTTCCAACGATATCGAAATAAAACCTCAGTTATTAATTCATTTTTGTTATACCTAGATCTGAGATTTTCGAATCCTCGATATCTCAAAACTTTTCGTTAATTTCTTCAAACCTCCAACCTTTCGTCGAACTATTTCAGATCCGTTACTGTACATAAGTAATATGCACTCGAACCTATTCTGACTTGAGAATAAAATAATATACGCCTTATTGATATTAGCTACTAAGCGACCCGCATACTAAAACATTTACAGCGTCTATAGCCACTTCGAAGGGAACGTAATGGTATGCTTATGGTCGTCTGGGGGTTAACCCATTTGCATGAAGAAACGGAATACATCGAGTTAACCGTATTACCGAATATGAAATAGTCGCAAGCCATGGTCCGCTTAAAACGTCCTTGCATCAGTAATTGAAACCACGAGCTAAAACAGGTGTATCAAATTCATTTTGACCCTTGGGCCAGTTTGAACTTTTACAACCGTGCGGCGGGCCGCAGATGTACAATTCTTTTACAACGTTCAAAAGTACTTCGGACCTTGCGATTCGGAGTAATCTAGGTGCGAACAGAAATTGCATCGGATTAAAGTATAACTTTGGTAGTGTGTGCTTTACGAGATCTGTTCCAAAAATATACCGCTCGAAGATTTATCTTTCTATCTCGTTGTGGTATTACGAAAAGTATCGTCGGAGGTTTTATCATTTAAGAACGACCTTAAAGGGAAAAACCAATAAAGAAGTCTAATTCTAAGTCAACTACGTCTACAAAACTATCGATAGTAAAATTAGCGCGATACTTTATTTATTATCAGCAGAGAAACTTTTTTAAATTTCTTTATATCTTTTAAAGTGTATCTTGTATCAAATTGTAATCACTTGTAATTTTTAAAGCGTTGTCAAGTAAAATCTACCTCTTTGATTTTGTTATTGAACACAGAATTTTGGAGTAGATCTACATTCTATAAAAAGAAGGAGAGAAATAGTGGAAGAATATTTCCAAAAAGGTTAACGCTATGGAATTTCTTAAAAAGATAGGAATAATCAAATAATAAAATCTGTAGTGAAAGTTATAAACTTCAAGAAGTATCTTGTATCTGAGATGGACAACATTTTTCTTGAATAGTAAGAATAATCAGTAATGTGCAGAAACAACTTAAAGCATCCAATGGACCTATTAGGTTTTTAATTACCCATTATAAAATATTGCGTTCGATAATCGTAATTCTAATATTTCACTCGATATATACTGAATTACCAGTCACGATTTGAAATATGTATTTAGATAGGAATTTCGCTCCTCTCCGTTTTGGATTTATGAGGAACGCGTACCGAGCCATCCCTTTTAACTTTTCCCTCGAAGCTATCGAGATTCTGCATACGATAATAGCCACTTAAACAATAAACGGAGGGTAGATATTGCATTTAACATCACTGTTTTTACTGTATACCGTTAACGATGGAGTTTTATGCTGATTTTACGCTTCAAGTACTATTCTGAGCTTTATCTGGGAGAAACGTTTTTCTATAGCGTTTAACTTGTGCGCGAGACGATGGGCTCCTATCTTTTCTGAATTGCTATACTTTTCCAGGCCTCGTTCCATTCAACGGTCATCCCTGTTGGAATCCTTTTGTATCTTTCGTAACGTCCATACGAGGCATTTGCATTCGGAAAATGATTACAAACGTCTACGTGTAATTTCACTACGTTACCTTTTTAAAACATGCACCTCCATTACTTTCTTTTGTTACATGGACATGAACGAAGATATACAGCGGCCGTGCGAATGAGTTCTGCATTCTGTTTGCATAACAAATGATAGATGATCAAAGCCAAAGTTTGGTACGAGCATCGAATAAATGGATCTTTGGATGAGTATTTGATTAAAGGATGAAAGCAAATGTTTTTTTTTTCATTTTTTTTTTTTTTTTTTGTAGAACTGAATATTTCAGAAATAGAAACAGCGAGTGATGATCGAATAATTGTTACAGTGACCGATGAATGTGTTTGAACATTTACTCTGAAATACTTTATTAATTATAATAAGTATGTTATATGACACTTACTGAAATATTATTAACGCCGTAAGGAGGTATGACTTTGCATATTATATATATATAGGTACAGTCTCAAACAAGTCGAAATATATAAACAATGGATTTGACTTATTTATAGTTCAATGAAATATTTAATTACTTCAGACTACCTTTAATTTGGACAATTTCGTAAATAATAACGTTAAAATTAAATTTGATTTTTGTTACGTCGTAAATAGTGAAAGCATGTACATGCGACCATTAAAACTGAGTACAAAGCCTCCACGCAAACATGATAATGAATGTTTATTTCAAAGTTTCAGTAATAAATGTTGAGAAACGTGAAGGTACTAAAAGTTATCATAACTCCTTGTTTTCTCGCGCAAACTTGCAGAATATTGCAGGCTACTTAAGTGTTATCGCATCGTTTATGAATCATCAGCACAACAGAAGATTGTCCATTTCCCATGGGTTACTTTATGTACAACTTTATTCTTATTCTAAAATATAATACCATTATGCCTACAGAGAAAATAATTAGGTTACCTTTTACGAATAAATGAAAAGAATGAAAACTTCGTAGCCAAGGAAGTATTTGCGCACACTGGCGATAGGTTTGGTAACGCAACATTTCTTCATTCTTGTACAATACACATTGTAACAGTACATCGTCACAGATGTAAATAGATGTTGTTCACGCTGTCTCCGTCAGCTATTCTGTGTTTAGATTCGAAAGGGAATCCATGTCTCGTGAAAGTAGTGAAATCTAGTGCGTTTACGAGAAAGAATTGTTTCTTTACAAAAAAGTAATCGTAGCTTGTTCAAGATAAAGTGGTTTTGTATGCGATATACGTAAAATACTTCGATATAAGCTGTAATTTTTTTTTTTTAAATTCACACCTCTACGCCTCTTACAATTTCCAGCAAAAATCGCCTCGCGATCAAAGGGTTAATGTTAAGAATGGAAACAAACGGTTGAGCGTTGGTATAGTATATTCACAGAAACCAGTAAAGTTTAGGAAACTGTAACTTCTGGCAACAAGAGTAAATTCAGTAGATTTGAATCCGACGGGAAAAAGTTGGTGCGAGCAAAACGAGATGCAGCACTTCATGAACAAGATATACCATCGACTGTAAAACAAGGCGGCGGCAGAATTAGGGTTTGGGGATACATGTCCCATAATGGTGTTAAAAAACTGGCATTTATCGACGGTATAATGAACACTGAAGAGTACATCGCGCTGTTGCGTGAGAATTCATTCGAAAACGCAGTCAGGCTAGATATCGGAGGAAGCTATTTCGGCAAAATAATGATCCCGAACACACTGGCAAAAAAAACCATAAGAACGGATCTTCAGAACGTACCCAAATTTCTTAATAAGAAGTAGTCACGGAATATATGTGACATAAGTCACTAAAATTTACCCTAACTGTACCCTACAAACTGTACCCTACAAAATCCATCATCTAGAAATTTTGTCTTGCAGGAATCTCTATGATGCTCGGAAATGCGCAAATTGATGGGCAGAAATCATCGTCGATGGACCGGGGGTAAACGTCATGGCGAACCAGACGGTCAATTACTATGGGAACGTTTATCAATGGAATCGGACGGTGGCGACGGACGACCAAGACACGTCGATGGAATATTACCTACCCGACTGGACTGATCTCGTTTTAGCTGGGTTGTTCACCACGTTGATCATCGTCACTATAGTAAGCAACAATTCGACTCTCACTCGTCCAAAGAACCTCTTATTTACAGTTGCTAGCCCTGCAATTTCAAAGCCTTACTCAAAGATGCTTCACGGTCCTTGTCGACCATTTTCGTACACTGAAAGAATCCTAGAAAGCTTTTCACGTGTCGCTCGAGCGAGTAAAAGGGTTCACAGACGTAACAATTTATTCTAAATGGTTTTCCAAACGGGTCCTTGGAATTTTGTTTGTTTTCTATTTTTAATAAAAGTATATATGATTATAATTAAACGTGATATAGGATGTCGTTTAAGCATATTTTGGTATTAAAAAAATCCTAGACCACTTTTTCGTAAATACTTTATATGTGTATACAGGGTGTATATACAGGGTGAGGTATTTAAAACAGGCCACCTGAATAATTCGTTTACTGTTAGCGATAGGAAAAAGTGTGCCGAACAAGAGTTGTTTGATTTCGAAGGGCACGTAAAGTGGTGGCAATAACTCTTTCATCGGTGGATGCGTAGAGCCGATATGAAATTCAACTCTGTCTTTTTAAATATTATAGTATTTCGTACACATCCTGATAGAGCCGATTGATTATTCTGTTCCGAAATTCTTATGCATTCCTAACGCTCTTTTTACTCTCGGGGGAAAAGTTATATTGAAATACCGATTGATACTCTCGGAGGAATTTAATTCAACAGGAATCCATCTTCCCATCCTCTCTTTTTCTCTACATGTTGGATTCCAGAACAAACCATGGCTTAAGATATTTGCAAGTTTCCATACATCGATGGATTCATAGAAATTTTGCATCTCCCTGTCACGATAAGAGATGCTCTTCAACGTGAAATGCAAGAACATTCGTCTACATAACCTACATTCCTCCTACTTTCTCATGTATACTGTAAATGATTAACATGTTTTACAGTGCATTAATTAATTCCGATTAAAGTAATGCAGATTACTTTGATTTTCTGATAAAAATTTGGTTAAGAGTCTAATTTCTGTTAAAATAAGTACTTCTGCTTACAAAAAGAAAAAGGTCGGCATTTTGGATATCGCGAGCCATCAGACAACGAAATCGAGTTTCGCGAATCTGAAAATTAGGTTTCAACCCATCCATAATGTAAATAGAACCTGGTACTAGATCGAAAAGAAGTAAATTAAACATGTACATTGGAAACCGCGGCAAGGACTTTATAAACAAGACAGCAGAGATGATGAATCCTTTTTTTCCGTTTATTTAGCCAACCAAGACGTTGAAGGAAAGTAATGTGATAAAAATTTCAGGAACAGTACGATTAACAAAGATGCAATTAGCAGTAACATCGAAACAGTAACATCGTAACAGTAACAGTAACAGTATCATCGTAACACCGTAACATCGTCACAGTAACAGTAACAGTATCATCGTAACACCGTAACATTGTAACACCGTAACATCGTCACAGTAACATCGTAACAGTAACATCGTAACAGTAACATCGTAACAGTAACATCGTAACAGTAACAGTAACAGTATCATCGTAACACCGTAACATCGTCACAGTAACATCGTAACAGTAACATCGTAACAGTAACAGTAACAGTAACATCGTAACAGTAACAGTAACAGTATCATCGTAACACCGTAACATCGTAACAGTAACATCGTAACAGTAACAGTAACATCGTAACACATTTTTTGTTTATTTAATGCAATCAGAACCTCTATACAGAGATAATTCGTAAATATTTGTCCGCCAAATTACAGTAGTTTGATTACATGGATACAGGTTTAGCGCTGACTGTTCAACGCATAACGCAATTGTAATATGTGTTTTCTGTTCTGTCGCAGGTAGGCAACACTTTAGTAATTGCCGCTGTGGTAACAACGAGGCGCCTAAGGTCCGTTACTAATTGTTTCGTATCCAGCTTGGCCGCTGCGGATTTATTGGTTGGCTTAGCTGTAATGCCGCCGGCAGTATTATTACAGGTATATAGACGACGTATATCAGCGTAGCTGAAATTTTGAAAGGTGTTCGTACAAAAAAGGGTGCCAATAAATTCGTACACCCTAATTATCTGCGTTATTTTTTGAGACGTGAAAGCTTATATGTGAAACTTCGTGTAAATTTGAATACTCTAATTATTTACGTTATTTCGAGGAACATGAAACTTCATTCATAAAAAAAAATCATCTGAACAGAATCGAATGTTTGGTGAAAAACCATCACGTGAGATTATTTATACAATCAATGAATATTGAATTCTTTGTAAAAATTACGTTCTGTTTATTTAGATTCTTGGTTAGAATTCAGTATTTGATTCTCTTTATAAAGTTTTTTCACATCTCTAGAAATAGCAAAGGTAATTACAGTGTTCAAAGTTATTGGCCAACCCTATACGTGCCGCTGTGAATAGCAATGTGTGAGTGAAGAAAGTTGGAAAATTGAGTTGCTTCTATATTCGTAGCTTGGAGTCGTTACTTTGAAACGCAGAGGAGTAAGTCAGAAGTTACTTATTAAAGGGCGAAACTGGAGTAGAGAGAACTATGTTTACACATGCATATATATTCGTTGTCCAAAATGAAAGTGGTGTATGTCAAGTACGTCAAGGGGCATACTATAAGACGTTTCAAATAAAATACAACGAAGTAATCTTTACTTTACAATTCTCCGGTTTTCGGTTATCTCCGTTTCTGTTATACGAATAGGTACATTTAATTTAGCTAGCAGAGTTCATCATTAGATAAGCTGTTATTGTTTTAAGCTTCGACTTTACTTCAGATCCTCTTAAAGACAAAAATAAACAATTACTTCATATTTAATCCTTTGACCCCGGCACGATTTAAACGCTCCGCCCAGGTAAACGAAATGTTTAAATTAAATTTAAATTATCTTTAATTTAATATCAATTTCAAACTCGACGGATGTTTCTTTATAGAATCTGACGAGACGAAACATTTTTATATTTATAGTTTATTCGTCCGACGTTTAGTTTCGAAAATAAAAATTGAAAACTTGGAAGATCTTTTTTCTGAAATTCAATTGTTCCCAACGTGCTTCTAACTTTTAAACTGAAAAATATACAATTTTGGAATTCTACAACTTCAAACTGTTCATGCAAGAATATTGTAAACATCGACGGGACGCGAATTGACAATGCCAGATATCGAATCATGTTGCGGCAGTCGCAGACAAAATTGAAACAATATGTCAACCATAAATTCATTAGCGGTTACGAGCTGTCGCTTGGCAACGATCGTAGATCGACTGAGGAGCGCGTGATGCTAGTTTTAGCATTGAAACTATCGAATCGTACATTTTTGCAGATAGAATGATTGGTGGCGAATAATGAACTGGATTCCTCCTCCTCCTCCTCCCTCCCAAAATGCAATAATTTTGTTTATTAACATATTCTCGTCACAAAATTACGCCACTGACAATATTTTTACACGACAACTGGACATCTATTGCATAAATAGTTTTAACGATTTCAATACGTTGTGAAATTGACGACATTGTAACATTTACGATGTATTTTATATAAAATTTCATTTTTAAAAAAAATGAATACCCTGTAGTTGTCAGCATTAAAAGTTTTAAAGATTCTATTAAAAAAACCCTCTATTTCTAACTACTATTTAAACTTACTTAATTATTAATTTTGCCTTTGTAGACATTATTTAAATAAAAAATAAGAAAGTAACAGTAAATTATCAGTAAACCAGTAGTGATTAAATATATTACAAAATTCATAGTAATTAATGAAACCAGTGAATTTGAAACCCTAACAGACCTCTAACAACCCCTAAATTTGAAACTACTGCAAATCTTAAAATAAATAATTGGTACCAGACTTATATCATTCATAATTAATGATTCGTGTCAGATAGTCGTTCCATGGTATCTGGATTTCAGAATTGGTTATGGTAATCTTAATTGCGGCTACTTGATGCGGGAGTCCGAATCGTCATTTACTTTCTGAATGTACTTATCATTCGTTCCGCGTACTTTGAAGCGCCACGTGACAATTGTCAACATTGATCCTTCGTTCATCTTGAGCAGCGAGAGCAATTTTGCATATAGATTAAAATTGAGTCGGGGCATAATGAATGCTCTTCGATACGCCGCAATTCTACAACTCAGTCCTACGGAGACCATTCTCAATCGGTCTCTGGTCCAAATCGAAATTATTTCTTTCTGTTATTTATGGAGATTGCACATCTTAATGTTTCATTAAAGCGGAAACGAAAGAGAATCTTAGCAAGAGAATTGATTTCTACGCAATCTTTTTAAAGAATGAACTTTATTGTTGAATAAAACTTCGCCGTTTCTATGGTGACTGCACCGCTAAAAGTTAACTCACCCGGTTCGATAAACATGTGCTAACTGAGGATTAAGAATTTTTATATTTACTCATTTATATGTTTGATTGTACGAAGAAGTATTTCTATGCTAATAATTGAACATTAGTAAATCTACTAATATACTAACTCTACGAAAAATAAGGAACGGAGATTCGAACTCGCGATCCTCGAATCCACAGTTGACCGAGAACCCTACACGACCAATCCCGCACCCCTATACTACGATACGTGTTCGTGTTTGACTTATTCTTGGGTATGAGGGACGCGATGCTACAATATTGTAATATATTATAATATATAAACGAGGCGGTAATATCTGGTGAATCACCCTAGCGTGCATTACCTACGCTATACACATTGTATACGTACCTGTATACAATATGTAACTCATCTCCAACAAATAAATGTTTCTTTGTTTGTTGACCACTCGTACTTAGAAAGATACTAAACCTTATGCAAAAGCTTGTTACGCCGAATTTTCGTTCATTAAACTTCCCTCACTCAAAACTTCGACAAGGCGAAACTTCCATAACTCGGAGATTTCAGCTCTTCCCTTCAAGTTCGAATTATTCAAGTTGAACTGTAAGTGTGTTATTTAAACTTCTATCATAGCAAATAAAATCTTCAGCGGTTTCTCGAATGGCAATCTTGCAATTTCTAAAAAATGCGAACGTTCTAGATGAGAAACCTAATTATACGGATGCGTTTAAGCTCTAATGGGAAAAGTTTATAAATTGTGACTAAAGAGCTTTCATCAAATTTTCTGTTCGCTTTCGGTAAATCTGAAAGACCATCGTCTTGAGACGACATAAAACGATACATATAATGGAATCAGCCATTAAAGACGTACAATACCATGATGTATCTATATCATGATGTTTCTTTTCCATTTATTCATACGTCACGCGTTACAAAATGTTCGTTAGAATGAATTTGTAAAGTAGCTTCACGAAGTATTTAATCTCAGAGTGGTTTCTGCTACTTTACACTACAGCGTTTTCTAAATTATATTTATCATAATACAGAAATATTCGCGATCCTTCGACTGTGAATTCTTTATATATTCCTTAAGAGAGGATAATTTATGTACTTATTTACTTCACTTGAATAAACATTCAACATTGCCAGACAGTCGCAATTCTCCGAGGTCAGCCAAACATAAATTATCGAACTGTCAATAAAAACCGATAGACTGCTCAAATAGTTACGTTTCCATTTAACGTTATGTAAAGAAATAATATATTGGTTGCATTCGTTTTTAAAATAACTTCGTTTCTCTAACACTGCAATTCTTCGTTTCATCAATTGGAAAAGATACAGTATTATTTTTTGAGAACACATATCAACACGACATTACACGCTGTTCCATTCTGAACTATAAATAATATGTACGTTCGAGAACAAATTGGAAAAATGAGACGTATTATTGGAGGGGGTTGTACGTATTAGGATTGCACAGGATCATAAGATCATTTTCTTTTAAAAGGAACTGTAAGAGAAACAATTTTTGACCGCGTGACATGATGTTTATTTAAAAATCATGAAATGAAGAAATCAAACTGAAGAAAAGTTTCGTACATACGTTTACAATACATTTTATGCACACGATACATTGCGTGATTCTACTTTTAATAACAAATTAATTATGATAAATTACGATCTATACGCAAAAATTCCTTGAAACTCTTTATATGAAATTACCATAAAAGTTTGCAATTCATATAAAATCCTTGATTATAAATTTTTTTTTAATGTGACATACGATACAATTCCGTTCAACCTTAATGCTGATCTATCTTCAATCGTTAAAGTTTGTCTTTATCGATAGCAAATTCCCTCGCAAGTATAAACAAATAACTACTTATAAATTAAAACAGGACACCGGGTACAATGTGGAACACATGAAAACTTCACTATCAACAGGTCCTCAGACTCCCGATGAAACCGTTTGCGATGTCGGAGTCATTTCCCACAGGGATAGCGGCTAAGTACACCTTTAGACCGAAAATCGAACATATTTAATCGAATATTCGAAACTAGAGGATTCAAAAAATCGATATTTAATAGAAAACTTGGTAGAATATTAAAAATATAACCAATTTTCGTTCTATACATCTGCGACAAATATATGGTTTCGATTTGACGATTTTTAAGTTGTACTGGATACTTAGTTAATCAAATTTCTATCAGATGTTTTAGAAATAAATATTTGAAATATGATCACGAGTAAAGTTCAAATTATCTTGTTTATTTTTTTAAATAAACCTGGCAAAAATAATGGACATTACAGTTACAAGATTGTTATGAATATCTCTTAAATAATAAAGTTCTTCTTCGTCATTTGGGTCACAAGAAAGCACGACATTGGCAGCGCGCTAGATGAATATCTTCTCATAGAAGTTATCATAACTCCTTATGTATTCTTTAAGCTCCGCAAGATCTTCAACCTTACTTCACTCTATCTTCTGTTTATTTTCCGACCTATAAGGAGGAAAAGTATTGTAACCAAAAGAAACTTCAACAATTTTTTTACGGAAACACACGTTTCGAGACCTTCAGATTACATTTTGGCTATCACAACAAAAATGGTTACACTCTGACCTAAAAACAAGAAAATCTATTCAACCATGACAAATATTGAAATTTCTTTGCGGAAACACGTGTTGAAACTTCTTTACGGATTATGCTAATTAAAAAAAAAATCCGATTCGATACGACGGCGAATAAAAGAGGTAATTCGATCGGTAATTATGGTCACCTTCAAGTTCTTTTTTCTTTTTTTCTTTTTTTTTTTTAATATATTTGTTTTACAACAAAATTTTCAAGCAGTAATTTTAATTTCGTTGCTTTTTAATTAATTTTATTAAAAGTAAAATAAACGTTAACAATCAAGTCTAACTATTCGATTTTCAATTTATTATGACGATATTGACAATTGTGTTGTTTTTTTATGTAACAAGCTGTAAACTTTTTGAAAGTAATCATTGTAAAATTAGTTAAAAAATCTAAAAATCTAGACAAGACTTTTTCAATGCTATTTGTACCACGGTTTACGTAACATGGATCAACTTTTTATCGGTATATGTTCAATTTAAAAAATGTGAATATTCTATCTATACAATAAGATCACTTACAATTCTTCACAAAGCTTTTGGATACTTTTCACTACTAGACGTGGCATCTCCTCTGTAGCTTGTTTACAACCATTTTCTTCTGCCTCTTGAATTGTTAATCCTATAACTGGTTCATACCGTTTATATAAATCATTTGATATATCAGGTATATCCAAACTGGCAAGTAATTGATTCAATGCAGCGCAACTTATACCAGCGTGTACAGCGCCTGCAACAAAGTATTTGAATTTACATTAGCTACGATGTTAAATAAATTCAACTTATCCTATTTCTATATATTATTTTAAACGAAGTATATTACAGAATGTTTCAAAATTCTCTTTCAGAATGTAATTTTTATAGCTCGACGAACTCTTGCGCAACAAACATTTTACTCGGCTGTAATAAACATTTTTCAATTAATCAGTCTAGTAAAATGACTGCGTATAAATTAAATATTTATATTTTTTTCTTTTTTCGTATATAATTCATTAAATTAAAAGTTTATTAATAAATACAATGAATAGCTTACCGAATACAACTGTCTTGTTGATATCGTCGGAATTGTGACTATCGGAGTGTTTAACTTTCCCTGTACGGACCGAAGTTATTGTTTCGCATTTATGACAAGCGACAGTTAAAACAGAGTGCAGGCCTAAACGTTTTTCATCCGTTACTCGTTCCAAACTTAAAACTTCACTACACTTGCAACACTTCAAATTCTTCCCTAATTCTTTTAGTTCAACGATACGTCTTCCTTCGCAAGCATTGCTTTCTTTCCACGCTGTCTCGACACGCTTCTTTTTAGCTTTTGACATACTCGTCAAAGCTTTCAATTTCTTATCCGCTACATTTCTCTTGGCAAATCTGCCGTTTGTATTACGAAAATGATAAGGCATTCTGCTATACTTCTACGATACACTGAATTACTAACCTAAGCGTACTGAAAGCCACGCGGTGTGGCCACTGCACGGCAATTGTGTCAGTTATGTATACTAAACAGAAAACGTCATGGTGTCAAGCCAGGTGCAGTAATCCAATACAAAGAGAAGCGGAACCACACACTGTCAATACGCACATCCCCGTTGCCGACGCCTAATACACCTGTACTTGTATACCAAATATACAGGAGGTAAGAGAGTGTCTCCAAGTGAAGCAAATATGGCGTCGGGAAAAGTAACGCATTGCCACGCATGCGTTTCATTTAAATCAATTCTACAATTAATCTTGTACCTTGGGATCGGAAACAAATGATTTCTATTTTTCTGAACGTTCTCTTAGAACTTACATTCGACAAAATAATACCCGCGAATGAAAGCGACAGCATTAAGAGTCAAAGAGTCAAAGAGTCAAAGAGCATTAAGAATGAAAAAGTTAAAGAGATTAAAGGTTTAAAGAGTTGAAGAGAGTATACAGAGTAAAGAGCAGAGAGCATGTGATCAAATTAGTTATTAGAACTTAATTGTTTTAATACATAATAAACTAATTAAACTGATAGCCAAATCAATAGAGCATTTTTGTGTGACAAAAATAGTAACGGCTGTGTAGTAATAGTAACTGATTGTGCAGTTACATAAAATGGGATGCGTAGATTAATAGGTATATGTTTTTCACTTCCAACTCTGTTCCGTTTTCTTGTTATTTGCAATTTAATGTTAACAAAATCGTGACTTTTGTCGTTTTTTACTTGTAAATTTTAAACTAATGCGGCAATATCAATGCTCCAATGAGATAAAATGTAGGCGATGAAAATACCTAAATTGTAAATAACAAGAAAACAGAACAGAGTTGGGAGTGAATATACCTATTAATCTACGCATTCCCTTTTATGTAATTGCACAATCGGTTTGCTGTTACTATTTTTGTCACAGAAACGCTGTTTTAATTCTCTACCGATCCGCCTATAACCAAACCACGGTCGCTTAAATTAATCCTACAGTATTTCATTATTTCATTATACTCCCATTTCCATTATTCTACATTTACAATAAAATAAAGAAACAATTTCAATTAGATCCTATTCTTGTTGCACTAAATGATCCTATTAACGTGCAAATTGCAATAAAAACAAATGTAATCGATAAATGTCTATTATCACTGAAGAACTTGTACTTTTTCCAACTAATAAAGATCTACAGCTCGTACAGAGACGATACAAATAATTTTGAAATGGCCGATAATTTACAAAGACTTACGAAAAAAAAAAAAAAAAAACTATGATCTTAATTTAAGAGTGTGTTCAACTTCGCTTAGAGATAACAGTAATACTTAAATGTTATTGGCATTGTATATATCCCTTACGTTTACACCGACTGAACAACAATTTTTTCAAGTCAGTTTCATTTTATAATTTGCAAATTCAATTTTACGGGGGCTCTGAAATCTGACTTTGCACAAATACGACCCTTAACCACTGAACGGGAGTGTCAATAGCTATGCGTTGTTTCGTCGTTGTGAGCCGTAATTTGTCCGCTAGATTTTCCGTAATGAAATTCGTGTTCGAACACCGTGTCCACCAACGTCCGGCACTCGATTGATCGTTAGTCACGATCGAGGACGCGAACAAACGCGGTGAATATCAACCCGTGATGTGCGATGTCAATGTTGATCCAACTCCCGCATGCGCGTGGAGAAAACTTGAACGCTGTTTTCCGAAAGGAGCATTAGTATTTTCAATGCTGTAAATTACAGAATGTTCATTTTTTTCAGGGGAAAGTTTACTTTTGTATTCGTACATAGTCGTAGTCATTGAAACATCTATATACATATATATATTTACTTTTATATTTATATCTTACTAATATAGCGAAGTCATTACAAGAACATACAAATGTTCAGTTAATTTTGGGACGTACACCACTTTCATAATGAATGTTTTTTTTTTTCGTTCTGAATTGAATTTGATTGAATTGAATTTTATCCAAAGCGATTACATGGATATTTTTTCTTATCGACAGTGAGACATTTCTATTGAACAAATTAACGAGTCAATTTAAACAATTGCTTGCAGAGAATTTTTGCTTGCAAAGTGGAATTCGCTTTTATAATGAACGTTTTCCTCATTCTCTTTAACAACTGAATTTCATTAACCACGAATATAAAGAAATTTAATCTCGTTAACAAATGAAACTTCTTTATAAACAAATTTAACACGGTTCTTAAGCATTGCTTGCGAGAATTCCGTGTTATAAAAAAAATGGACTTACACCACTTTTACAACGAACTGCTGACATGTTATAAGTATTATGTCTAATAGAACGAATTTGACAAAGCTCACAGGTGGTACTTGGATACTGGGCGAAATACTCTGTATCTCCTGGGTTTCCCTTGACATTCTCCTCTGTACTGCCAGCATTCTCTCATTATGCGCCATATCCATAGACAGGTAAGTCGTTCCCTGCATTTTCAGAATCGCGTCACGTAAATGGAACGAGATTACTAGTCAGGTGTTTCTTACACGCGTCAAGTAGAACCCCGTTCGATATCCCCAATAGAAGTTTCCTGTTTAGTTGGCGAGAATTTTGAAGAAAGAGGATTGCTGAAAACTTTACAGGAGATTGTTCGGTGTAGTAAAAGTATCGTACCACAATTGATCACGTCTCAGCTTTTTCCTGGCCACGTGTTTTATATCGATCTGTGCTTAACAGGGCGCGCAGTGAGTACGTCACTAAAAATTGGACGTTCTTAAGGGGTTTCACCACAGAGGGTTCGGCCAATAGAGAATTTGAACGATGGGGGTTTATAATTAGATAATCAAGGTTTTAATGTCATCGATTTCGAAAACAATTGACTCAATGGAAGATTTGTTTAACACCAAACGTACTACGATCGATCGAACGACCGTTTTCATATTTTTGTATTCGGTTATTATATGCAATTGTTTCATGGATTATTTAATTTAGTTTCACGTAAAATATTGTTGTATTTAATTGAAAGAAGTCTCTTTCAAACTAGCCATTTGTACCAATCACGGTAGAAATATTTACAATTGAACGTCGGTAGGTTTAGTATTAAAAATACTAGATAATTGTAAGGAGAGAGAATATCATTATATAATGGAGTTTCAATTTTAAGCTGATCACAGAAGTGATCCTGTTCTCCCAGTTAGGAGAAATCGATTTGAATACAAACGCGTTGAGAATTTACGGAGCGATTATTTTATGAATGATCAGATTTGCTAACTTATCGTAACTCGTCTGCTCCGGGACCATATAATGAACCTTCCACGGCTGACGGTGCTCCTTTAGTGGCAATTCATCCTTGTTTTCATAATGTTTGCTGTCGCGTGTCGACGCCTGGTCTTTGACGTCGACTGTCATCGAGCGATGGAGACCTTTCTCGCCGTGCTCTGTAGTAATTGGGCCGATTTTAATATCTAATGCCATAACGATCAGCAATAAAGACCATGGTCTATCATTAGACACGCAATTAGCGAGTTAAACTGAAATTTTTGGTAAAATTTTTGCTAAAACCACAATTTCCGTCTTTTCAATGTTTGCAAATAGAAAGTCTAAAATGGTTATTCAACTTTTAAATCTATTTTCATTTGCCATCAAGCACTGCAGTTTTACACTCAGTGTCAGATAATTTTGGGTTCGAAGTATCACTTCCAAACGTAATACATTGCATGTATAGAGTTGGTTGTGTAACACGAAGCAAATTTGAACAGGTTGTAATTTTTTAGAAAATTTAATTTTCAAGTGATTGTTTTTAAAAGGCTAAACTTTAAGGAAATGATAGAACAAGTTAATGACGATATTCGTGTAAACCTAGGTGGTAATAGGTGATGTACCACCCTGTATATCTATTATTGTATTATCTACACATTCGTTTATACAAAACTTTGCACGAAACCAATTTTATTGCTCCTAATGCCAGCAACCAAACACGATTTCGTCAGTTTCGTGTCGTCGAAAATTACTAAGAAGGGCCCTTGTAAATGATTAAATTTTTGTTATTCGTACAATTTTTTAATAAGTACAATTTTCGTTTTAGGTACCTAGCCATAACTCAACCTTTGATATACAGCCGACGACGTCGAAGTAAAAGACTGGCTGGCTTGATGATCGTCGCTGTCTGGATCCTTGCTGGGGCTATAACCAGCCCACCTTTGCTGGGATGTTTTCCGCGTGCAACGAATCGCGACAGTAAAAAATGCTCGTACAACATGGACTCCTCATACGTAATATTTTCAGCGATGGGTTCCTTTTTCCTACCGATGCTGGTAATGCTCTACGTTTACGGCAGAATATCTTGCTTGATTGCGAGTCGCCATAGAAACTTGGAAGCCACTGGCAGTGAAAACATCAAACCACGTCGCAATGTGCTGGTAAGAACATGATGTACAATACAGAACTTGTCGAATTGATCAACTTTTCATACTTGTCAACTTAGTGTTCTCGAGTATTTGGACATTTGAATGATTTGAATCTCGAAAACTGATTACCTATAAAAGGTAACTTTGCACGTGTGATTTATTTAATATTTTTGACTCGTTTGTAAATATACAACTGTTCCTTATACAATGACTTATATCAGTATATAATATATATAATAAAAATATCAGCTTACAGGGAACGATGAGACAGAACATTTTTATATTTAGAGCTTATTCATACGATGTTTAATTGCAGAGATAAAAATTGAAACTTGGAACACCTTTTTCCTGAAATTCAATTTTTGCTACGAACTTCTAACTTTTCAATTATTATTTTCAAAACTAAGCGTTCTATGAATAAACTGTAATATAAAAATGTTTCGTTTCGTCGCCCCTATAAGCTGATATATTTCATTTATTGACTTTTTATAGCCAGCCATGTTGTCTGAACCTACTACTTCAGGGCGTATATGTATATGTATACACTCTTCGCGGTCGGAAGGTTAATTGACGTAATTGTCCTTAAGCCTTTTATTTCAAAAGCTACCGGCGTTCAGACTGTAAATGTCTCCTATTTCGTTAAAGACTTTACGTAGGTCGAATTCCCACAGAGGAACTTTAATGTCTAGTGAGAGAAATAAAAGTCAGCAAATGCTCATAAAATGCTTTTTATTTAGAACACCATGAATGTGTCCTATACATTTCAGAAAAGGTACACGCAATATTGACTCGATGTGCGAATCTTTAATCTAACGTTTCTTTCCAATATCTATAATAACAGTATCTGTCTCTCTTCGTCATTTGTATCATTGTTATGATACAAATTCGATATGTTTAATAAATAAAATTTACATTTCTATTAAACAGAATTGCCGTTCTAACATATCACGCGACAAAAAATATAGCAACTGAATTATGGTTAGGTGTACATTAAAATAATGAAGAAAGAACAGGTTACATGGTTTTATTTGTCTCGCCCTATACACGAAAACCATTTAGAGGGATCAATATATCTCAGAAAAAGGAAGCAACTCTTATACAGAAAAGTGTATGTGCACTTTGCAGCTTGTATCGTTCTATCTGTGGAAAAAGGGGCCACAAGAAGTTACAATGCATAGCAGCATTTAACTTCTTCCTGTACTATTTTTTTTTTTATTTCCAACCAACGACGAGACAACCTCTTTCAACTGCGTGACCCAATCTTTTGAATTGAAAATAGGAAAAATAGCGATACTTGAAACATACGAAATCATTTTCATTATTGAGAGTATCATAGATTCGTAAATAGTACTAAGTTTTTTTTTTATTCTTCAACTATGGGGAATACGAAAAAATACTCCAAGTTAGGATTCTATTCTTAACCCTTTGGCTGCGAAGAGCGTATATATACGCCTCCGAGAAATGGGCTCAGAGAAATGTTTATATATTGGTTATATCAATTTAAAAAAAAATATCAGCTTATGGGGCACGATCAGACGAATCATTCTTGTATTTACTGTTTATCCATAGGATGCTTAGTTTCGAAAATAAAAATTGAAAAGTTAGAAGTTTGTTGCAAAAATTGAATTTCAGAATAAAGGTCTTTCAAGTTTTCAATTTCTATCTCTGAAACTAAACGTCGTATAAATAAACTGTAAATATAAACAAAGTTTCTTTTGTCATTCTCTATGAGGTGATATTTTTTTTAAATTCGATTGTTCGACTATTGTTTTTTTTTTTTTTTTTTTTCTTTAAGAAAACAGCAACAGTATGAGACCACTACGAGATCTTAGAAAAAAGGTCCTTTAAGTTTCTAATTTTTATTTTCGAAACAAAACGTCCTATGGATAAACTATACATATGAAAAAGTTCCGTCTTATCGTATCCTGTAAGATGATATTTTTTTTTATATTTACACCTCTACGTATCTTAGAATTTTCAGCAAAAATCGTCCGCGGTCAAAGGGTTAATGAAATGCCAAGAAATGTAAGAATTTATGCGACGTTTCATTCGAAATAATTAAGAGATTGATGTCATGGCCTTAGGGCGATAGAATTTACATACCTACATATGTACGTCGCGCGAAGAGCCCCAAGGAACTTTAAAATGGTCAAACGAGAAATTTGTCGCTATCCTTAATATTTCGGTTTGTAACAATTTATGAGATCCAGTTTTCATGTTACATCCAACATACTATCCTGCATAATGAATAACAATGGTACACGATAATACGGCAGAGTTGTCTCACTAATATCATGAAAGCAATGCTTGCTTATTAAACTCCACCATGAATTTCAAACATACCCATGAAATTCTGAGGACGATATGATTATTGCATAAATTGTCTCGGTTATCTAGACCGCTTTGAAATATGAATGGAAAGCATAGATTTGGTAAATTATAATAATACAATGGAAATAACTTTATATTTCCATATATCTATAAGATTACGCTACTATACATCGTGCTGGTTTTTTAAATTATCAAACGAAAAAAATGGAACGTTCTGAGATATTAGTGTCATTGAAATTTAATATTCCAAGAAGGCTACTCGAAAACAGTAATATGTTCTATACTGCTCCATACCGTACCTCGATAGGTAAGCAGAATTCCATTACGAGAAAATTGCATATGTCGGTTAATCTTTTTCAGGAATCAACGTCTGCAAGAAAAGATTCGGTCGTAGGAATTTTGCGTCAGCGTAATTTACCCGAACATTGTACATAATGATATGCTGTGCTTGTCCTCATTTCTTTTTTTTTTTTTTTTGTTATCGTACTTAATATCAAGGGTATTATTATTATTATTATTATTTTAAAGATGTTTTGAATAAAAATTATTTAATTCAAAAGTAGAGAGAAATTCATTGGTATGTTGCAAAAGTGCTTCCATAATATAATAAAATGAATCGATAGAATAGAAAGCAAGAGAACAATACAATCTTCCAGAAATTGTTACCTACAATCAGACTCCTTTCGTAATCACTGGTACAATTGTTTGGACCAAACGAAGCAAGCAACTTCTTTCTGATATCGAAAGAAACAAAGACGTTAAAGCGGTGGCGATAAAAGCCGAGTTCTCTGTAACAATGTGCTCATTACTTCGTTCGAATAATTTCGCTGATTGCTCGGGAACGTGAGTTTCAATTTACGAAAATTCCCCACGCAGATTGAACGAGCAAAGAGCATCAGGGTACGAAGAACCGAATGTGTGACCAACACTGTGACCTGTGACAGGGCCTCCAATGAAGCGGAACCGCCGACCACCAGCAAAAAGTCAGGGATCGTCCGCAGTCATCAACAGAGCTGCATCAACAGAGCAGCTAAGGAGACAAAAACTGCTGGCACTTTAGCAGTGGTCGTAGGTGGATTCGTGGCATGTTGGTTACCTTTCTTCATTCTCTATTTGGCCACACCGTTCATGCCCATGAACCCGCCGGATGTCCTAATGCCAGCTCTAACGTGGCTAGGTATAACGTATTTTATTACTAAACTGAGGATTTTTATGCGTTTAGAGGAAATTTGAATATATAAGAAACTATGAAATGCACAGTGTACGCAATAATATAAAAAATGTTGAAAGTAAAGTTCATATTGTAATATTTGCGCAGTAAAATGTATTTCTTGTTTAGGTTCAATATTTATAAATACATCTGCGAAGATTTTATTTTGCATAAGGATCTACAGTTTACTTATTACTAAACTGCGGTAATTAACGAAGTTATAATATGTGTAATGAATACGCAAAATAAAATAAATACACAAAAACATACATAGTTGCGAACGAGTGCATAAATATATGAAATATGAAAAATAAAATACACGTTGCATCGTTTAGAAGACAAAACATGCGTCAAACCTTTGACTTACGAACGATTCTTGCTGGAAATTCTAAGAGGCGTAGAGGGGTGAATTTAAAGAAAAAATATCAGCTTATAAGGTATGATAAGACGGAACAAAAATAAAAGTTAAAAACTTGAGAGACCCTTTTTCCTGAAATTCAATTTTTCCAACGAGCTTCTAATTTTTCAATTTTTATTTTCGAAACTAAGCATCCTATGAATAAACGGTAAATATAACAAAATTTCGTCTCGTCATCCTCTATAAGCTGATATTTATTAAAAATTGATTTAACGAATTCAAACATTTCTCTGAGTCGATTTCTCGAAGGCATACATAATATATGTATACGCCCTTCGCGACCAATCCCGTACCCTACGTTTCGTGTTGTTATTTGACTCCTTATTGTTGGGTATGGGAGGCGCGGACACTACACTCGGCTATCCTGAATTGACATTCATTCGCCCTCGAATGTCCGTTTTCTCGAGTTTTGCGTCTCAACAGCAGTGCGCGCCGCGCTCTCTTTCGCCGTTTCTCCTCTTTCTGGGAGTGCCACTTCGACAACACCTCAAGCTGCCCCTTCCCTGGAGTGTACTCCCCTCTCTCTTTCTCTCTCGACGCCTCACTGCTGCCCGCTCCACTGTCAACACGACACCGTCCTTCGTTTCTCATTGTTGTTCATCGTCACTCATCGTCACTGGCCGGTCCTCTTCGGTATAGTTGCCGCTGTAACCCCCCATCCCGGACGAGCCCCCACATGTAGGAGTCTAAACGAAAAATAAGGCACGGGGATTCGAAGCCACGATCCTCGGATCCACAGTCGAGCGCTTTATCTACGCGACCAATCCCGTACCCTACGTTTCGTGTTCTTATTTGACTCCTTATTGTTGGGTATGGGAGGCGCGGGCACTACAATACAATAAATTAAAGTTCACAAAAATGAAATAAAAAAATCTTCATTCTTATACATCCTTGATGATAAACGATTTAATTATAGTTTTTAATGTTACTTTCAGGGTGGATCAATTCAGCTATAAATCCATTCATCTACGCCTTTTACTCGGCCGATTTCAGAATCGCATTCTGGCGACTGACTTGTCAAAAATGTTTCAAGAGTAGAAGTAATTTGGATCGAAGCAATCGAAAATTACCAACTCCGGCTAACTGGAAGAAGGAAGCATCGAGGACGTGAAAATAGTGGAACAATGATGAAAATAAAAATCCATCGATCGCTGTGATCGAAACAGAGGTCACTGTGATTTACCTAAGAGTGCGACTCGTGTTGTATCGAATGAGACACGTAATTAAACAAATTCAAACAAGACATCAATCTCATGATACACGTAACTTGTTCGAAATATACAGTATTTTACAATCGGTAATAACTAAACAAGTGATTACAACATTTATAAACTGCGAATACTTGGTATTATTTGGAACATGTCTGTATCACGACTTTATTAAAATTGGATTATTTCACAAACAACTGTTACAGCTATTAGATCTGAATACATTTTGACCTAAGCAGGAGTTTCAGTTTCATTTCACTTACAAAAAAGCGGATAGGTTAACAAGTATAATAGTTGGGTACCGCATGAATCATTCATCGAAGAAGAATTTATATCTATTTATATCCTTGTTATAACGGCACAATAATTGCTCGTTTTCAAAGCAACTGGTAACTGGTGATGAAAAATCATTTTTGTTAATGTAGTGAACAGAGAAAACTTTGTGAAAAACTATTATCCACCGCCAAAGTTGAATTGCATCTTAAAAAGTTTTTGCTATCTATTTGGTGGGATTAAAAAGGTATTCTTTAATATGAACTTTTATTACTAATCAAAAAAATTAATAATGAAAAAATACTGTTCACAACTGGACGAATTAAAAACACTTGTAAAAGAGAAAAGACCACCGCTCGTATCCAGAAAAAGAATTGTTTTTTACAACAATAACGCTCGACCGCACATATCTTTAACGACAACATACGCCATACTCGTCAGAATTTGCATCATCTGATTTTTATTTGCTTCATACATTGCAAAATTCTCTTTACCGAAGATGGTATAAGACCAAGATGGACGCCTAGATTTTAAAAACTTTTGAAAAATTCAACAAAATAAAGTGTGAAATAGGAAGATATACAGAATAGGATATTTAGGGGTAAATACCTAAATACCTGAATACAGTAATCCCTTGATAATCTCTGCTACTGTTTGTTTTGAATTATCGCCAACCACTTGTTGATTCGCTTTCCTGATTGCCAAATAAACATAAGTGGGTCGGCCGCCGAGCGACTAGTTACGAAAACATTTTTTCATGATTATTTCATTGGAAAATCTAATACTTTTTTCGATAATAATTTCTTGTGTTGTTAGAAGAAATAACGTTTCTTTAAAACTTACACTCATAATTAATGTGAATTGCGGAATATGTTACTTTGTTACAGAAAATATTAACTTACCTTCTTTGGCGACTGTGACTATGCTTCGCTTTCGCATTGTAAATGTATTCAAATATTTGCCTTTTTTATCTTATGATTATTTTTCTATTATATATATATAATAGAAATTATAATAGAAATATTATATATATATAATAGAAAAATAAGATAAAAAAAGGCAAATATTTGAATATATATATTTATATATACTATATATTTATTTCATCAGTTCCATTCATATTCTTATCAGTTATTACATCATGTACGGATAATAAAAGATGTAGCAAATTTTGTTTTTCTCATGTCTGTATTTGTACAATATCCGTTTATACATTTTTGTTGTAATTAGATGTGTTCTGACTGAGTGTCTCTATGTGCGGAAACAGTTATGAGCGCTTGTAGCGACAAATGCCGGAACTATATTTCCGGAGACTTTCAATATTACATTTGTGACAGTTTTCTAATTACAATGATACCACATATAATACAATTCGGATCATATTTACAATAATTTATGGACGACGCGGAGAAAGTCTTTTCGAAAAAGTTTTTTCGATTCAGCTCCCCTACTGGCTAAATGTTTTACTTAATTTACTTCTTCTAGTGGCCTCTCAGTTTTTATGTCGCGTCGACCTTTTCGGCGACGGAATCCGTTCCCTTGATGTGCAGGACCCAGAGCCAAACTCCGAGTTGACTTCAGCGGCAGTTGCGGAAAAAGTAGGAAACTCCGGGATAAGGACAGAGAGGGCGATACATAAATTGCAGGAGAGACGAGGATAGGACGATTAGGCTAGCATGATTTTTTTTCCAGGACAGTGAAGCAAAGAAGCAATATTTTCTAATAATTCTGGTTTTTATATATTTGTTACACTTTGGCGGATGCGACACCAAGACCTGATTTTGCAATTTCGGCCTTAAAACTTTCTAAACAATAAAATGAAGATAGCAAACATACTTTTATTGTTTGTAGGAGTTGTAGGAGTCAGTTATTTTTTTTTTTTTACTTTTTCTTCCATTTGTATCATGTTTTGTTTTTGCAATGTTTGTTTAATATAATTAAATTGTTATTTACAAACTATAATGACGTAAGTTTTTATAAAAGCTTGTAGAAAACACCTTTCACATCCTGACTTCTTTTTCAATGCGATAGAAAACATAAAAATTGCACAATATCGTATAAAAATAATCTTAATATATAAAAAGGTTGTTTCCATAACAAAACATCATACAAAAGGAAGAAAAAGTAAAAAAAAAATAAGTGGCTCCTACCGGGATCGAACAGCGTCCAGCGCAAAGCTAGAGTTTCGAAGCGACAACGAGAATAGAAAGAAACAGTTCGATGAAGAAGGATGAGAGACCGATAGTCGACGTTGGCAAATGTAAGGATACGGGATGCTAAGCGCGATCTCGACTTCAGTGAAATGGCAACAGTGTAGAGAGACGCTGTTGTGAGAACGGCCAACATCGCAATGCGCAGCCCTTGCAGTCTCGTAGGTACACGGACATGCCACCGAGCGTTGCATGTGTGTGTGTGTGTCTCGGCGGCTGCTCGCACCAACAATACATTGTCGCTGACGTCTCGCTTGCTTATAAAGCCTACCTTACCGATGGCCAGCGGGTATTACGGATGGGGTACACAAATCCACGAAGTTCCTCGAGAGGAGGAATGGGCGAAAAGTTCTAAAGACTCGCATGACGCGTTCACACGCGCCCCAGACATACTACAAAAAATCAGTCATCTTCAGATTTCATCGTCACGCACAATAATAAATCATCAGCGACGTAACAGTCTCCCATTAAAACACACTCTACACGACATTACACGTACGATTCCATCGGAGTCCCTACGTCGTTTCCGTTTCCCTGTCGCGCCTAATTACGATCATTGAAGTTCGCCTTTCGTTTTTTTTTTTTTTTCTTTCATTTTGTGTTCCTAGAACAGTGATATCCAACCGCGCAGGCATAACGTCGGCTGCCGCATAAATATCAGAAATTTGAATACAATTTTCGTATCTCCGTCTAAAATATTTTCGCTTACATGTAACATGTGTCTGTGTGCTTGTGCTGTGTGTTTATCGTTCGAACGCAATCGCTTTGTCGTCGCGTGATTCTGTTCAATTTCCGAAGAGTCATGATTTATTTGCCACACTGTCGCACCTGAAACAGAGAAAGAAAGATCCATCCACTCGGAATCATTCTCTGCTCGGATTCGTTTTCCGCAACGATTTCTGATAAACTCTGGGATCGTAAACTTCGTTTTGCAACATTGATAAAATTACTGACATTCAACTTGTACGTTTCGATGAACCATTATAGTAATCTCTGTATCTTTACTTGATAGACTCTGTGACTATACAGGGTGTCCCAAAAGTCGGGGAGGAGCCGGAAATGGGGGGTAGCTGAGACGATTCTGAACAACAATTTCCTTTGCAAAAATGTCGGATGGGGCTTCGTTAAGGAGATATTAAGAGAAAACCCCGACCAATCAGAGCGCGCGTAGACCGTTCGAGCGGCCGCGGTAGCGAAGGCTACGCGCTGACGGCCGCGCTTGTACGCGACAAGTGACCTCGACGTGTATCGAAGGACATTGACGCTGCCGCCTAGCGCGTAGCCTTCGCTACCGCGGCCGCTCGAACGGTCTACGCGCGCTCTGATTGGTCGGGGTTTTCTCTTAATATCTCCTTAACGAAGCCCCATCCGACATTTTTGTAAAGGAAATTGTTGTTCAGAATCGTCTCAGCTACCTCCCATTTCCGGCTCCTCCCCGACTTTTGGGACACCCTGTAGATTTCATTTGCAACATGAATAGAATTATGTATGTTTAACTTTGCCGAGAGGGATTTGCGTGTTCCGTCTCATATTGCGTTCCTTTCGCGTTAAATTGTATTATATACTTTCATTTGTAACATTCGATAGAACTATTGACTCGACCAGACGGTACATTTTTCTTATGAGTAACGCTTCGCTTTGCGATCGAAGGTCTCGTGTCCTTTCGAAATAAATGTGAACGGATACACTTTGGGAATGAAAATGGTGGAATTGGGTAGATGATTGCTTGCGAGATATAGATTCGATTTAAAGACAAAAAGCAGTCCGTTATACACCGCTGCGATGACATTTATGCTAGGAAAATTAGGAATTTCTTTCTTCCCAGGACTCCATCAGGTAATTTTTATGCTCTCCTATTATGGATATTCGTCTTTTCCATCTATTACTTCGTACTTTTTATCTTTTGTTTACTTCTTCATGATATTTTCCCTATAGACAAGAAGGAATTTCAAGAAAAGTACTGGCTTTTTATAACATTTACTTGCTTTAGATGTACTAATTAAGTTTAGCTCGATCGTTTTATTTTTATTTACCCAACAGCTTAATTTTATTCAATTATACGTACCAAGAAGATTTTATTTCAATTTGACATGCAGCTAATCTCTATTATTTACTTGAACTCTTTATTTCTCTATTATTCGATTCTCTAAAAAATTACTTGTCTCTTCTTTTCTTCTTGCTCAATTTATTTATTTCTACTTAATTTCGTTGATCAATTATAGGTTCTACACAACCATATCGAAAAGGATCCGTAAAGAGAGGTCGAAACGTTTTGAATATATTTAAATATGCGCTTGCAACGGACTACTTTTTGTTTTGAAAACGTTGAAACACACTGCCCTGGAATATACTCCCGTACCAACATCTAAACATTTCAACGAAGGACAAACTTTCCAGCACGATTCAAGAAACATGCCGGAAGAAATACGAAGCAGCTTTGCGGTATAAATCATCGTAACACATTCGTAATGATTAAGCGTTGGTAGAATAGAAAAGGTTCCATAAATAGAAACATTCAGTTTGCGCGAAGCTCGTTGCATCGATAAATAATTTCTTAAAGCTCGAGGGACCGATTAAAACCGCCAATAACGCTATCGTTAAAGAAGCGTCTTTCAGTCTGGAGATCAAGAAAGAAACTCATCGTTGAGACACGACGGCAAGAATGGGAACAGGCTCTCGTTGTCGTGTAGATTCTATTCGCGCGAATTTCTCAAAACGCTTCAGGCTACGGTTACTATAGATACGAGTTCTGACGAATTAGTCCAAACAAGTTCTTCAATGATACAATGATATGTGTTTACACTAGCAAAGACAAACATGTCGGAACATTCACTACGCGTCGTCAGAACTAGTTGAGTGTTCAAACAAGTTTGATTTTTTCGTGGAACCTGTCCTATTTTGGGTGTTAATCGGTTGCTCAAGGACAAAGCATCTTCTTTCTTTCTTTCTCTCCTATTCTCCTTCTATCCTTGTTCCTATATCCTTGTTCGATCGAAATCTACTGAATTCAAACTCCAATTTAAGGCTTTGTATAACAACAAATGACCAAATATTACGGGTCAGTGGCTTTGTCTCAGCATACGCTTGGAGTTAGCGCGAATAGAATCTACACGACAACGAGAGTCTGTCCCCACTCTTGCTCAGCTATGATCGATTTTGTCGTCGCACGTTTGTCAGTTAGAACAAGGCGCCAGGTGTAAACAATTTAAAGCGAAAGCAGCAGAAACAAACCAATATCAGTTTCGTTGGAAATGTTCGGGTCGAAAAAAAAAAAAAAAACGAAATCCGTAGCGCGACTTGAAGACGCTTCCGTATTCACCTCTATTACGAATTTACTTACTTACACACGGACTATCGCCACAGAATAAATCGAGCATAGTCGACTTTTTTAATCTCTAAGTATTATCGTTACTCGGTTAACTCGTTAAGTCTACCGCACGTTGTGATTCTAATCCACACGTGCGACAATCAACACTTAACACATAAGGAATCACATGAAATTCTGTATATAACGATACACCATTTAAACTTGCTTAAGACTACCTTACAGATACCTCACCCAGCGTGTCTACTACAAACTTCGTAATCCACGAATATACGAAAAGGAGCGCTTAACCGCGAACCGTCTTATGGAAAGATGAGTCTGAGACGACGGCGATCGTAGTAATCGCTATAAGCGAAAGATAAGCGACGTCGAAAGCGCTCGACATTTTCCTTGGTGAATAGGTTTTCACGATTCTCTCGACGGCGTTTCGGTAATTCCTTCTTTCGACGTCGCTTGTAAAGTGTCCGAAGTGCTTTGGAAAGAAAGGAAGAGAATGGAAACGAGACGTTGAAGAACATTATGCTACAGGTCCGAAATTTGTGTCAGGAAGAACGCATGCCTGAGATTTGGCGTGACTTTAATCCTCGCATTAGGAGATCGCAATGCCTTCGAGGAAAATACTTATGTATTGCGATGCATTGTGAACTCGTGCGAGGATTGGATTAGAGATCATGGCAAATTAATGGTTCGTTACTTTAGAACGCGCAGGTGTACTTGCAATAATTTGGTAACGAATGTTTACAGATCCTGGATGATTATTGTCATCCTTTGGCATCAATGACTTTGCCACCTTAAATGGAACACCGTCTTTCGAATTACTCGACGCTCGAAACATTAGCCGCGTATGCTTTACGATTCCATGCTTTACAACTGATTGACGAATCGTTAGCCACGAGTGATCCGTCAATGATCGATCATTCGTGGATAATGATGATAACGTCGTTTGTACAGACTTTTGCTTGGGAGTTGGCGAGGCACCTACGAACTGAAGAGGAGGGAAGCAAGAGTATTACTTTATCCTTCGAGATTCCCTCTTTCTTTCGAGTAGTCACGCTGCATATTCGTAGTCCATGCTATGTTCTCATTTTAAAGACAAAGTGTATCTTATCCGTCTCGAAATCTTTTAATTTTTCTTACATATATGCATCTACGTCAATAGTTACTATTGTTCGTTCAGTTTATCTCGATATGTCTCGTTTGCGAATTTCAATCACCGTTACGCCACAGCCAATTGGGCTGCCTCGCCAACTCCTGACCAGAGGACCATACTTGTGCACGGTCGCATTTATGCCAGCGGTTGCGCGTGATTACGCATATCGCGATTAAATATTTGCTTACGCAGATCAAGCACTTGTCAAAAATATTTACTTTACGTTCGTTTGCATTATTTTCGTGTTTAGGCCGTAATTGAGCAGTATCTGTACAATTTGTATAAAACTGTGTGCTCACGAAAAGAAAAGCAGCAAGTTTGTTACGCATCAGTCGTCTTTCATGAACCGTAGACTTAATCGTTAAACTTATAACGATCTTACGTTATAATTAAGTTAAACGAATATATAACAATGTATCGCTGGTAACAGAATTGTTATAAGATTAATATTTCTAATTTGGAACACGCACTACCAGTCGGAAGTACGAGTCCATGAAAAATTTAGGTAAAATTTACGTTCACTACCATTACTTTCAAACAGTAGTGTGTGTATACCTTTTAAGTCAATAGAAAACCAATGAAACCAATCAAACGAAAGTTAGCCATCAGTTCTTATCGCGATAAGAAATCTTTTTTTCCGTATGTACTACTAAATTAAATTGAAAAGATTACGATTTAAATTATTAACCTACGTTTTCTTAATTAATCCCAGATATAGATTCTTAAGATGTAAAAACTGAGACTAGAAGAACATCACAAATTGGAAAAATATAAACGCCATTTTCTCCATGCTCGGTGTCTCTTTGGATATAGCTGGATATACGAAAGAATTAGAAAAATATTCGAACAAAACTATTGTTTCTCAACTGTGAGACGTAATGAAGAATATATCATTTGAATCGGTTGCTTTGAACGAATTTGATTTTAACCTGCGCGCATAAAACGCTGTGTACAGCGGGTGTAAGTATGCGAAGTTCGATCCACGCGAGCGTAGGTGTTATTAAAATGAGATTGCCGTTGACAATTAGACGGTAGAACGAGTACGTGTACATGCAACGCAGATATGCGCGGGAAGATGCTGTTGCTTGGATGTAGATTCTAATGTTTACCGTACCTCGTTCCTGGGACCATTCGAATACAGTTCAGAAAATGTTGTTCTCGATTCGAGAACAACATTTCCTATTTTCCTTATATTTGACGCAAGTCCTCCTTTAGTCTGTTTCATTTTTTAATGCAAGTGCAATCGATTATCCAGTCTGCTGCATTTCGTACGACATCACAGGTACATACATACAATTACATCAGTGACAATATATCTATACACCTTTACGATTATTTTACACGTGATCGTGCGTCGATAAAATATGACTATCTGCTGTATGAGATATCGACTAGAAGTTTTGTAACATACATAATTGGATCAATGATCTCGATTGTCAATTTCGATACGATATATATGTACGCATTTTATATGTATATATATGATGTGTATATATATATACATATATATATATATATATATATAGAGAGAGATTTCTTTTATATTTATATACTTATATTACGTGTATATGTAAATAAATATATATGTATAGTATTTATGTAGGCGATACAGTAGTCACATAGTTAGGCAGACTTGATTTATACTTGACATCGAAGAACTGATTTCAATTGATTTTTTTCTTTTTAGAAAAGGAAGTAACAGCTTTGCGAGCGGAAAGTATTCTCTTCGCAGATGTTATGCTTTTTCCGTCGCATTGTAAGAAGCTTAAATGAATAGCGCAGCTATCCCAACGAATTGACGCGTTTGATAAATGAAAAGCGATGGATCGTAAACGTACGTGATCCATCGAATATAGTTCCTATAAGATTTCAAGATTCGAGTCGGACAGTGGAATATTTGTATGAACATGTGGTCAAAATTTCGAATAGTACAGCTTGTTTACAACATAAAGTTATTGTTTACTTATGTCGACCATTTTGGTAACTGTATATTTATGATTTTCTTCAGTGATCAATTCGAGTACGACTTTTCATTGAGTGTATTTATTCAATGTTTTGTAATAGCTGCTATGTATTTAGCATTAGTGTGTTCTGTATCAGATACCAAAACTATTACATCATGTTTGAAATATTGAATTTTTAGTTATACCATTGGATAATAACGTTTGTTAAAACTACTTGAAAAGGCAAGACTTTCGCCAAGATTTAATTCGTAAATTTGTGAACATTTTTCGAATCCTCCACAAGAAGTCCTAGAAAAACTACCGATTTCAATCTGCACTGTCTGATCTCAGAACATTACGTTTCTTTGAAATTTACAATCTTTTAGTATTACTAACGACAAACGTCTTGAAAATCATTTGCAAGATCAGAAATATCGTCCTAAATAACTGGATCAGTCGTTATGAATAAGCCTCTACTAATAATAAAAGCAATACCAAGTTGTCGATAGCGAACAATGTCAAATAGTTAATATCAAATCATTTTCGATACCTTATCAAGAACATAAAATTGTACCTTCTAAAAGGTTTTCTAAGTAAACAGAAAAATGAATGAAGAAGTTACAATGAAAATAGACAATACATTTTTTAAATTCGAGAAATGTTCCTGTACGATATTTTCGAAGACTATGTTAACGAATTTCCTATTTATAGTATAACGAACAAACATACAATTTAAAAACAATTAACAGTGATAATAATCCATAATAATGATAATAATAATAATAATAATGTATTGATCGTTATAGATTCTCCTAGAAAAAAAATTGTTCCAGAAATGTATCAAGTTTGTAGTCGACGATTAATTGAGTACGAATACTTTCGCGTGTCATTGTACCGTATAGATCTAGCCGTGTCGTTTCCAATTGCATTTGAATTAAGTAGAAGCAGTAAAGTAATTTTGGTGAAATATTCACGTCAAATACTCCACTGCGGGACGATCGGAAAACACGAATTCGCGTTGAAGTATCGTTAACGAAGTTGGCATTAAAGAAACTGCAGCGATAGCATGGACAGAAATCGCAATGCCAAGGATCGCGTCAGCGGTGTTGATTAATAAGTAGATCGGTTCCAGATCTAGTAGAAAATGTGCCTACAGTGCGCTTAGCCACTTACGAAGGAAGAACCTTTCATCTACAGGTTTAGATGATTGCATTCGTTCGAGAGGATTGTCCATGCGATTAACATAGGACGAAGACGATTTCGAGGGAAGCTGGTTAACTCTCGTCGAAAATTTCTTCGCGCCTGATGTACCCTTAAAGAAAAAACGTTAGGATATGTTTGTAGGCCGATCAGATTTTTGCGTTTGTCAAACATCTGCTCGCGTATACCATTCCTCTAGCGTTCGTTTTTCTTTTCGTTATCGTCGTCGTTGATGGGCCACCGTCACCCTTGTACTATCCATTGAGATTATATCGCAGAACCGCGAGAATAGTTTCAGCTACTCGTCTGTCGTCGAAGGAGGCGAGAACCGTCGTCGCTCTCCTGTCCTTCGAAGCGACGGTATCACGAGATTGATTTCGCGCGCTAAAGGCCAACGCTTGTGGACCGTGTACTTGGAAGAATTTGGAAGCGATCGAGTCGAAACAAAGTACGAGCATGATTAGAATTCTACGCCAGAATCCTACGCTAACGCTAAGGAAATACGCTTTCCGAACAATTGTGCGATTATCGCTGGGACAAGGTCGCCATCCAAGGTAATAGTAATTTTTAATGCTGCGATCTCGTCAGATATCAACCTTCATCGTACGACCGACCGACAGTCCAAACATTTGTTTGCGATGGTCCATACATTTATCGTTTATTGCTCAACGAGGTTTTACCTGATTTCCAGAGAACTTATTCGTCAGCAAAACATCTCAAATTAGAATTAAGTTGGATGTTTCTTTTCTTTGTAGTTATGTTATTGCAACCGTTAAATCTATTTGCTTATCTGTCCTTTGAGATGTTTCTGTCTCTTAGATTCCTGTTGCTCTGTTGAAATCTTCGGAATAAAATTAATATCGTTATTTTATTACGAACTGAATTTTCATCAGTGGAATTTCGCGACGCTCTTCGTTCCTAACAAAATTCGTCGCGATGAAGGTTAAATCCGAACGTTATAAGGATTTGGTCAGCGAAATCATTGATTTCTATGTACCATTAATAGGCGCTTAAGTAGAATTATCTCGTAAAAGTTACCGTATGACGCGCGCGATCTTAATGATTTCGTCACGCGCTCATTTTCATATACATATATATATATATATATCGAATAATTAATGTCTGACATCATATTGGAGCTTCTGCTTCTATCTCGGGCGGGGTAAGCGCAATACTTTCGTACAATTCGTCGTTCATATTTTTATTCGCGTTTCGACTCCTTCGCTACCCAACCGATTTCATTCTCTGACAACGAAACTGTGTACCGATTTATTCGAGGACACGAACAGTTTGATTCAGAGAAAGTCACGGCACTCGTAAGTTTTGTAGCGAAAGAACGAATCGTTCCTTTAAAAATTAACCACCCCGAGAGCCACGGCAATATTGTTACAGATCGTTCGTTAAACGCTTAAATGTTCCGTAGATTGTGTACGGTGGCTGGAAAAATATAAAAACATCATGAGGCACTTTACATTAAATATCAATAAATTTGCAAAGAGGATATTACGTTGATACGTAATAGGATACGTATCGAAACTTGATCGATTATCGTAGCTTTCAAATGGTACGTACTTCGATACCGTGGTCGACGGTAGATGTGAATTTGATATTTTCGTAGAGTATGATTACGCGGAGAAGAATGTACAAATCGCATGGAAAATATATTTTGTGAAATAAATAACGTATCACTTGAAACAATACTTGAAATAACATTTCAAATAATATAATTTCAAAAGTGTCCAGGTTTGACCATAGCTAATCACACCCACTATTCCACTTCTCTTCTCTGCGTAGTACGTACCATTTGAAAGTTATATTTAACCATTAAATTTCGACATATCTCGTTATTAACAGAATATTCTATATACAAAGTTATTGTCACTTAGTGTACCTCACGGTGTACGACTACTTCTCTTGGCCACTGCATTAGCCTCGATGAACGCAGTGGCTCTCGCGGTAATTTTATTTCGGAAACAACGAATAATAAATTCGCGGGTGCCAAAGGAATCAATCTTGTCAGTCTACGAGCTACAAAAATCGCGTGACTCTAAACACCGAGGTTGTCGTGCGACATTTATGTCGCCCGTAAAGTTGTTCTGGTAACCACTTACCGATTGCTCTTCGTGTTGGGCTCGACCAGCGAGCCTCGGAACGATTGTCTACCGTTAAATAATTAAAGCGTTAGAGGAGTCGTCTCGATTTCTAGTTACCATTGTTTAGACGTGTTTAATTTCGAATTTAAATTTGAATAATCATATTTTCATTTGTTATTTCAATCTAGAAGAATCATATTTCCTGCCATCGAATTTTCTGTTTCGGTTTATAAGTACCGAATCATTCGTTGTTATCATTGGTATTCTTTTTCGATACGAATCAAAGAGAACATTCGTAAAATGAAGTCACCAAAGGGTCCACGTGCCACGTTTAGTCAGATCGTGATTTTTCTATGATTGTCTATGATTTCCTGTGTTACCAATAACGCTAGGAAAATGGCAACGTGTCGGCACTTGAACATAAACATTCTTACCTCGATTACTCTTCTCCCTCTCGTAATAGCAATGTAAATAAAATGTATTCTTTTCGTGTATACTTTTCATTCACCTGGCACTTGGTTAATTTGATACTTTCATTCTACGATTCGTTTCGAGACGTCTCCTCGACGAAGTAAATACCTAACGACACACTCGTCGATGAACATGCATCGTGTTCCTTCACCAAATGCAAATCGGTTCGCGGGTTTCGCACGAGACTCGATCGAATCGTCATACTGGATCAACCAGAGAACGCTACGGCGTAGCGGATGTCGATCGTCTCTCGTTCGTCTCCGTCGAGCCTTAATTTATTGGGAAAAATGGACCCTCATCGTCACGGTTGGACGTTGCTTTATTTTTCGTTCTCCCTTCCTCTTCTGTTTCGCTTTCTAATAATTCATGAAAAAAATAGAATCTCTCTTATGTTGCTTTCGTCGTACTTGCTTTCTTCGTTTTGTGTATGCCGTTCACTGTTAAACAGGTTCACGCATGTACACCCTTATTGCTAGAACCCTCGTGGACATTTTTGAAACGATTCTCGCGGACGCCGTGTCCGAGACATGGAGAAAAAGAAAGAACTCGATAGAAAGAATTTTATATTCTAATGTATCGGTTTGTTCCTAGTTCGTCTTTTACAGATGGACCGTGCTGTTTCAAAAAATACACGCGACGAATCGATTTACATTAACCCTTTGACTGCGGGCGATTTTAATGCAAGACCTGCGTTATGCTTGAAAGATTTTTCCATGCGTTGCGCATATATGCGCTCCGAACGCTGATAGGCGTTTGTAGGCGCGCGGTCAACTGATCGATTGTGCGACGATGACAATCAAAGTGTTAATATTCTCCACGAGAGGCGATTAAAAGGAATCCGGTAAAACCATTGTGCTTCTATTTATTATGCGCTCCAATGTAAATAGCTGAGTAAATTATCGATTGGAGCGGTCGGTGTGTTTGATTGTCTTACGGTACGCTCTGTCATTGCGAGCTTATGGCATGGATAAATGAAGGATACAACGAATGAACAAGGGTATTTAAGCACAGCAGAATCCTAACACGATGTCAAATTATCTGACTGCTCGAGGTCGCTCGTTTACTGATCAGAAGATTCTAAGACACAAATATACTTCGATATGTCTTAAAAAGCATCCAATTAAATGTTATTTCATTGGTTGTTTATGTCGTTCTTTTTGTTGTTTAACTCTCTGTTGTATTAATTTTATTTTATGTTCTAGAAAAGAAATTATTTTACATATACTGTAAAAATATACAGATATACTGTTTTTTTTTTACATCGCGCGTGGTGTCGGTCATTTTTCCCACCACGGTATCGTGTTCGTGAACTTTTCCAATTTTTGTAAAATTTTGATGTCCCTCAACAATGTATAGTTCGTTAAAAAATTCATAATCATCCTGTGATTCGATCTTATCTGCGTTTATGTATGTTTACATTGAATCGAACGTTTGCTTATATAGACGTGCAGAAACCTATAAAATAACTCGATATTTGCCTTTCTTTATCGTTCATATTTATTTCTCCACTCTTCCACCGCAAATATTTATTTTATTAGCATGCCTCTACGTAACTGGCTTCGGAACAAACACTGGATGCGGCGAAGAGATCAAAAATAGGACACCACCTACACCAGTGCTGCTCGACGCAAACTCCTGAGCTTAAGGACTTTCCTCTATTCTGTCTTCGTTAACATAGTGTAAGACCACTGCGTCACGTGTACGCGTCCTATACAAACACGGTGAATCATGTAGAAGGAGTTAAATCCGTGTAACACCTATCCATAGAGAACACTAAGGTATACTACGGGTTTTTACTTCTGTAGAACCTCGAGCGGACAATTATTTTGACACAGAGAATCGTCGTCGAAACTCTAATCATTATTGATTAATTCATAGTGCGTATAACCCAGCAGTTATGGAAACGCTGTTTGGACCCATAAATATTCGACTTAAACTGTCGTCATCGCTCATGACGTACAATTGATGGATGTAGTCTATTTTGGTAATTCTTTTTTTCTTCCTTGAATCTCCTGTTTCAGGGACTGTAACCGTAACCCAAACAAAGTTAAATTTGCAGAGTAACCCATGCAATTGGGTCATTTTTATCACTGTTTCGTCTCTTATCATAATTAAGAGCTTCATGAAGTTTCTTCAAAGTAGTTAATTATATAATAATTAGTTGAAGATCAACATCCGGACCAGACAATCTACCTTTTTTCAGACTCCTTCCCTCTGCAATGTAACATTTTATGGGCTCGTATTCAAAATGAAAATGTACCCTGTAAGTCAATCATTTTTATTTCCACTCAACAGTTGCAAAATGCATGAGTTTTATCGAAGGACGTAGAATAAAAATTACTTCAAATCGTTTCATTTCCCAATGTTCTTGTTCCTCAATTTTAGTAAAGTATCTGCCGTTAATTTAAAATATCATTCACAAATATTTGTAAATGAAATTTACGAAATATTTGTCATTCAACGAAGCATTTATATTTTCACCTATTGTCTGGATTATTTGCAGTCCATTCTGCGTAGATTAATTTGCTCTTTCTACGCGGTTACTTTCAGTGACTCTAACTTCGCATTAGTAATATACTAGTCCTCTAGGTTTAGGCAACGGTTACGATCCCTTCTCGTTTAGTGGTTATAGCACATCTGACGACAGAGATCCTGCTGTGCCAACGCGACAAGGTTCTCTGCACCGAACCGATTATTAGAATGCTTTCAATTTTGTATGACAGCTTGCGTTGATTGGAAGTAGTAAAGTAAACGAGAGTAAGGCGGGAGAGTAGAACGAACGAAGGTGTCTGGAAGGAACGTTAATCGGTTCCATCAGGAGATGATTTTAACAACGGACTCGTCCTCGTTCTTGAGCAGAAGGCTCAGCCTGAGGTCGAGTTCGCCAGCTTCGAGGGCCCATTTTTCCCTGAGCCATCATGGAGAGTCCGCGGTGTGGGTGCCGAGTGTATGAATCGGGAACAACGGATACCAATCGACGGTCAGTCGTGTCAATGGAAGTTGGTCGAGGCTCACTTCGGCTCCGCCTAAGCCCTGATTACTCTCGAAGGTCTGCTTCTTCTCCCACAGCATCACGAGCAGATTTCTTCCGAGAGCGTCGCAGCTGTTGTATTTAATGGTCTGCCGGTATTGCGGTTTTTTCGAGTGACGTATCACGCGAGTTTTTCGCTTCTGCAGCCATCTGTCGCCGTCTCGGAGATACGTTTTCACGTATGTATCTACGCCACGGAGAAACATCGAGTCAATTTCTCATAAAAGGATCGTGTGTCCATTGCATTATTTTGTGGGGCATGTAATGTGGTAATAAGGGTATTGTGGGTGTAGGCGTGAAAGAGATTTTAACGTTATCTCAATTTTTTGTATGGAACCACTGGTTCCTCATCGAACGGTCCACCATAGTGGCGCGCGCTCGTATGAAACACGTATTAGGTTTTGCTTTGGCATCTATTTGAACTTTCGATTTGTCGGAAAGTGTCTTGAAAACATCTTTGAGAACGAACGTATTTTCTGGTGGCCAAAACATCGTTGTCGACATAATCATTGTGGTTCCAGAACTAAAACGATGTTGCTGATAAATATATTTTAGAAATGACCAGACAAATTAACAAATTCTCGATGCTCTATAAACAAAATTATTTATTTTATTATTTCACCCTATTTAATTACAATATTTACACCGCTCTTTCCTATAAACAAAAAAAAACGATAAATAAAGTATGTTCAATGAGTCGATTCCTTTTTCACCAACTCGTTCGAACTTTACCGTATCCGAAAATCACTTCCTTAAAGAAATGTATTTTTAACCGATTTCAAAAAGGAGGAGGTTACTCGATTCGACATGTATTTTTTTTTTTTTTTTTTTTTTACTTTACAAATATACACCGATAAGGCAATTTATCTGTTGATATTTGTAAGAGAGAGAGAGACGAGGAAAGAAATTTCTAATGTTAAGAATGTAATTTGAATATAAACTATTCGATGCTACGTTAATCGCTATTATACTTCGATACAGGAACTTGGATTATACAGAAGTATGTTGTAGTCCAAATATAATTTAAGGAATATTAAGTAACTATTTTTCTATGTTCCACAATTTATGAAAATACAAGCACCCGGAGTTAACCATTTTTACCAAAACTGTCTTCACGAATGGGGTTTTAACTACGGAATTATTAAAGATGCAGACTTACTCTTTCTGTGTTTCAATTGAAAACAATGAGTCTTTCTGAATAAAAAAACATGTCATTTCAAAGCTGTTTACAAAGGAAGAAATAAATAGTTTACCTGGTTCTTCTTTTTCACCTGGACAAATGTCTCTGGCACAGATAACTTCGACCTCGAGTGTACCTTTGCTTAGGCAGAAACCCAATTTCACCTCGCCATTTGGAGTTCCTAAAACGCATGAGACATTCATATAATTGATCTAAAATCGATCGGAAACGATTTTGTTCTGTTAAATTTATTGTATTTTCTTTTCTGGAAACCTTGTATCGGCGTGAATAATGAAAAGGAAAGTTAACATTTTCTTAAACTACGAAATAGCGTTAGAAGTTAACATTATCGAAACAACTATCAAACTTTTTACCAGTGATCATTTTGAATCCTTTTGGTGGCACTTGTCCCCGACCAAACTTCGGGTCAACACCATTTTCGTTTCTCGCTGGCTGACTGAAAGTTAAGGAGGAGAGAAATTTACGTCAGCAATAAAAACTTGCTGGAACAAAACTGAAAAACGTTAAATCGGAATAAAAACTAATTTTAATAATAAAGTAGATATTTCATTACATTGTCATTACAGAATCGTTTACTAATAATAATCGTAACTAACAGAACGATCAACAAATCCGTTTAACAAATAATATTCTATTCATCTGTGTAAAAAAATAATAAATTCGAAAATTTGTTTTTAATTCAGTTTATTCGTGCAATCTCTTTATTTTTAATTTTTTAGTATAATTATTAAATTTAGCTTAATATATGTTTGAAACATTATACAGGATTTCAAGTATGATACTTTTACGAATAAAAATTACTTCTCTGAAAGTAGAAAAATGAACACGAATCAGTAAATTTTAAACTCCGCAATCGTATATATTCAGCGTTGCTTACCCCCATTTCTCTTCCTCGTCCGATTCAATGTTGCGATCATAAAACCTCTCCGGAATATTCATGACGCTGTCTTTGCGCTCACCCTGCCCTGCGAGTTAGAAGAAAATATTTTCTTTCTGTGATTGGTGCATTTCGCGATTACCCGCCCACCAATCCGCATGTCGAGTGAATTACACTTTTCTGGGCCAACACATTGATCTTCGCGTTTCATCGTTGTCTCGTAAAAAAAGAATGAACTATTTCCCCTATTGTGTCCCTAAATGTGAAAAAATATACTAATTCACGCAGATTGGCGAGGAGCCGTCGCTCGAGATCCATTTTTATACCTACTGAAACTGGCTGTCATCCTAGGGATTCATTCGTTCTGAACAAAACCTTACTTTACGTTACAATCAACGAAGCTTTCAACTGTTATAAAATGTCGCTGGGATCGCAAAGCCTTTCCTACTGCGTGTATGTACGTATATGTATGTTTATTTGCGAGACATAACGAATATTAAAGTCAAACAAAGTTTAATCGTTACGTTTTCAGACCCAAAGCTATCGAAACTTTTATTATATTTTTTAAAACTAACATCATGTTCGAAGACTTATATTTTTATGTAACTTCTTAAATATGTCTTTTTTTTTTTTTTTCCTTAGAAACCTTGAAGACGAAGCGACTATAAATTCGTCAAGTCAGAAATTTCGATCCTGTATCGTAAACTGTTCTGTTCAATCGGCTCAGAACGATAATACAATCATTATTTACTTTCAGCAAAGACGAAGCTGGAACGTGCTTGTTGGAAAAATGTCTTATATTCTTGTAAGTAGCGCATGTCAGAATGATGAATCTGTTTATTGCAACTTTAGCATAAGTTAACCAATAAAATGTTTATATCTAATAATACGCGTCATTACTACTAATAATATATATTCTATCGAAGATACGAGAACACAATTTCTTTGTACCATTGCTATTACACAATTGAGAAAAGAAGTAGGAAGAAAGCATTAGCGTCGATAAATCGAAGTATGGAACAATAAATCACACTAAAGCCTACTTACGCTTTTCTTAGCTACGTGTTGCAATACTCTAGCTAAGAATGGAACGGGTACTTCAATTGTAGCTATTTCTTCAACGCCTACGAAGTTACTGGTATTAAGAGATTCACATTACTATTACGAGGCACTAGCTACTAGTTCTACTATGTCTACCATTTCTACGTGAGACGAGTACTATGATTAAGTGTAGTAATAGGTCATTGGCATACGTACAAGGATGTAGGGTACCACTTTTCCGATCCAGCAACATTAATCACACATGAATACTACTCTCTATTTCTATTACTCGATTATTTCCCTTTCCTAGAACATGCTCTGTTTTTCTTGTTTCAGATTAAGGTTACTGTATCTTTCATCACTGTTATCGCCAAATGAATTTCGAGAATTGATTGCAGATCATTCAGCGTCTTTTACGATTTCGACTCCGTTTGTTTACGTTTATTGAATGTAGAATTCGTAATTGTTTTTCAATAGATTTAATGTTGCATCAACAGGTTTAATATGATCATTAGCGACGGCTGTTTGAAGCGAAGAGTGCGTAGCTGTTAAATTTTGTTATGTTTCCCGCGTAAGACGTATAATATCACTTAGGTGAAATTTACACGGCGTAGGTGTTAATTGAATAATTACATTCAAATTGAACGATACGTCCTCTTGAACGAGAATATGCTGTTAGATATCTGACAGACATGTCAGAAATCCATCATCACGCGCGTCTGACACGAATTCCGGTAGCGTGTTCGGAATATATTGGAAGACTATGGCAGGATTGAAATTAATGGGTCACTTTGTGGTATGTTTAATTACATGACCGTTTTATGTACAATGAAAGATAAAAGTATTTGTTATATGAGAAGATATTTCAACGAAGAATTCGTGATCGATTAATTAATTGTAGTGATTGTTCATACTAAAGTAATATCTTATACCGATGAACGTACTTGTGCAATATCAATGTCAGAACTGTAATGAATTGAATATAATTTAAAATTTTGTTTCCCTATTTCTTGAGGAACATTCGGTTCCTAATGTTTACGAATAATAAATTCTCAACCTTATTTGGTAAATAATTACTACAATCATTATATACTAATACGAAATCATAATTTATAGTAAACTATATTTTCACGAAACTTGTCATTCGCAACTGTCATTCAAAAAACTTTAATTCGTTAAGTCGCGAGTACGATAAAAATTAAATTATTTTACAATAGCATACAATAATTACAATCGTATATGTTACATTTTCAATGTCCATAAATGTAGTTATTAATTCTATTAGAAAACAGAATAATCACAATTGAATAACAGAATTCCATTGCTGTGCTAATTAAATGAAAAAACTTCAATTAATTTAAGTAATAAAATTAATAAAAGTACTAGAAAGTTACCCTGGATACTTCTTATGTAGAAAGAATTTTCAAACTATATTATAGAAAATATTGAAATATTCATATAACTAGAAGTTTAATGGTACTGTAACTGACTAATAACTTTGTCCTATCCGAGTGTAATAATTAATAGTAGATTACATGAAAGATATAATGGGGAATGCGGTAGAAATCTATTTTGTTTTCAGTCACTTAGTTCGTACTTTGAAAAGTGTAGGATGTACATATATCCTATGTGTAAAGCAGGCTGTAAGTAGTAACGGTCGATAATTGAATGGCCAGAAAGATGAAGCTAATACTACTACCTAAATTAATCATAAATTATTATACATTAGTACAATAACATTGTAGTTTCGACAAATAGAAAATAAAATCGAAACCAATTTTTTTTGGTGTCAATTAAAATGTAATTCGAGCACTGTACGATGTATACGAATCTGTCAGGAAGTAGTACAAGTCAATAATTAGATAAACATGAGAGTATAGCCTTCACCGCACGAATATCGAATTTTCCTACATTGTTTTCTTATCTCATTCAACTTATACGTATAAATATGATCAGAATAATGTTAATATGTACATATGATTGTTGATATTTTTTTCCAAAAAATAAATTTACGTTCTCAAAATGCATTCAACGATATTTCAGCATTCTACTTTCCTTACCTAGAATCACGATTGGCGGATAGCAACGAGTGGGTAGCGATTAAGTATAATCTACAGGTAATACTGCTACACGAAACGAATAACTTGCAAGGCACTATATGGCGCAAATAGTAGGATTCAATGCGAAAAGGAGACTAAGGGAATTGCAACGTGGTGCACAATTTTATACTCAAATATCATTCAAAAATACGTATAAAGGTTATGGGAATCACTAAACATAATTACACACTTACATATAAAACAACGTTTCGAAGAAAATAATTTGTTGTAAGTTAGATGTTCATTTTCTCGTGTATTTGTCCATTTTCTAATTAAAATTTTCTCTCTCAAGAGATGATACATAAATCGGAAGATATTTGTGATAAAAAGAAGAAATCACGTCTGAACTTTTATTTTTTAATGAATCAGCGTTTCTCAAACTGGGATTCGCGAGTTCTGATTGGAGAAAAGCATATTAGTATAGCTGCATGAATAGAAAGATTATTTAGTAAATAGTTTATTGCTATGAATTATGAAATATTAATATTAAACAACGTGTAACAAATTTAAATTAAACATATGGAATCATTTAAAGTATATTAAAATATTTAAAATATAAAAACATTTACTTAAAAGCCAACTTGTTAATATACTTTAAAAACGGTGATATACTTCAGAAGATGTGTCATAATATGGAATTCAATTGAGAAGGATTTATTCTCAAGATAGTGAAGTTTGAGAAACACTGGTTCAAATTGTAATACAGTAATGCCCGGTTAACTGAAACTGATTTCCGTTTTAATATTTTACTCATTTAAAAAAAAAAAGTTATCTTGAATCCCAATCAAAATAGGGGATCTATTAAAATTAGGTATACATTCAGAGCTATTTATTCTAATGTTAAGTGATTTCGGTCATATTTTCTGGAATACTCTGATATTACATATAATTAAAAATAAATCGATTGAAGTTATATGTAAATTCATATGCTTCAGTAAAATCTCGTCCATCCTTTAATAATAGCTCGCGAGGAAATAACGAGGAACGTATACCTATCAATTTTCATTAATAAATGAAATTTCATATTGCGTTATGTTATTATCGGCCCCTGTTGATAGATCGCTCAAAATATACAAAAGTAGCGGTGGTTATCAGTCGTGCATAGTACAATTATTTCAGTTATCCGGGAGATAATATATCTGACAATTAATAAAGGAAATTGTGTAGCAAATTAATTACAGATGCAAAAATATGTATACACTTAGTAGAGAGTGTAAAATAACTGAACGGATATCGATAAGAGGAGAAGTAAGGATATAAAATACAGTGTGGTCTGCATAAAAAAACATACCTGGATAACTTTCTTATTTTTCAAGATACAACAAAATGTGACGGATATAATGTATACGATTGTAAAGTAAACATGATGACAAAAGATTATTTTTTACAATGGTATACTCCCCTACCTTCTCGATTCTTAATAATATCTTTATCCATTTAATAATAAATAACGTTTACTTACAAAAATTCGTTTAAATTATAGATGCACATAAATAAAAAAAAAAAAATGTTTAAGTACAGTAAACAAATTTGTACGTGATTATATAGACGAAAAATTGGGAAAACTTTGAAAATGCATAAAATCTATAAATTCGTAATAAACGTATGAAGAAGTTGTAGAAACTTAACAATTTATGCATTAAATACGTAACAACTGTACGAAATAGTTATAAAGTTTGAATATTTATACAGTTTATAAATCCATAATAAATGTATGATCCCGTAAACGTTTGGTAATTCAAACAATTTATAAGATAATAAGCTAATGCATGAAGAGGTCGGAAACATTAGAATATTTACATATATTACAACTTCATAACAAATGCATGCGAATATTGTAAGAATTTGGTTATTCGTGCATAATTAATTAATGAAAAAGTTGGAATACATTGGAATATTTACTCACTTTATAATTTCGTAACAAATGCATAAAAAGTTTATATAAATT